AAAATCAATCCCCCCGAATTGAGGGCCATTTGATGTGTGCTGGGCGCTGAGGCCAGGCTCTGGAAGGGCAGAAGCAGAAGCAGTCTGTTCCTCAGGATTGGCTGCGTCCTGGTCACTGGCTCGGCTGCACTTAGCTGGGGCCGAGCTGGGCCAACAGGACCTCCTGCCCCCTGGGGTCTCGCTAGTAGACTTGGGGGGCTTCGTACAGGCAGCTCAGGGCCCCCAAGGGTATAAAAGTGGAAGGTGAAACTGAGTCCCAGGGCGTGGCTGAACTCCAAGGATGGGGGCTACCCGGGTGGGAACAGTGGGAGACAGGCCAGGGGGTGTCACCTGTGCAACAGCCTCGCAGCCTTGGGCCACACCGAGGAGGAAGACCGGACAGCGTCACCCCGGGCCCGAGATGACCCCTTTGCCTTGGAATCTGACCGATGCGGGATCTAGTGCCAGCTTGGTCACCGACCTTCCTCGGGCTGGAGGCTCACGGCGCCCGGCCTCCCTCCCTCACCAACGTGCTCCTGGCGCCTGTGTGGGCGGGAGGGACCCTGGATGGTGTGAATGCCTGTCCTGGGATGAGTTTCTTAACTCTCCTTCCTCCCATGTCCCACCCTTGCCCCCAACCCCTGCTGCCTGGCACCTTCCCTGGACATTCTTATCAGTCCCCTGCAGAGGCACGGTCTTCTGTCTACCGTCGCCTGTCCCACAGGCTGCCTCATGTGCCTAATTCCCTTTCCACGGCACCTGCCACCTGAGTAGACCCCCGTGAGCCTAGGACCTGAGCCCAGGGAAGTAGGTGGCACTTGTCCAAGTAAATGAGGCAGGCTGACTGCAGGAGGCTGGCCAGGTAGCCCCTGGGGTGCCTGCACCTTCCCAGCTGGGAGGCCCTGGGCAGTGGCAACAGTAGCCACTCTGGACTCCTGCCGAAGTGGCCACGTGCAACAGACCAAGGGGCTGGCTGGTGAGGTGAGCGTCCGGGGGAGAGAGGCAGGGGAGGCCTTATGTACGGCTGGGGGAAGGGCTCTCTTTTGGAGGGGACTCTCTGCCTTTGCAGAGGACCATGCCCCTTGGTCTCCTTTTCCCTCCTCGGGGTCAGCCCAGGACCCATTCATAGGTAAGGCACAGGGTTGGTGAGTGGCTGGGCCCAGCGTTCCCACCAGCCAACACCGACCTCATCAAGGCCTCCCACTGTCCCCAGTGGGAAGGGAGCCACCTTTCTTGTTTCAAATGGAGGGGCCCAAGGCTGCTGGGCCACAGCAGGGGAAGGAGGGTGGCTTGAGTAGACAAAAGCGGCCATGGAAGACATGAGAAATGGCACTCTTTATTCATAAATAAAAACATAAAACTGCCAGAAATAGTTTACATGGCCAAGAGGGGCATCAAAAATAAAATAAAACGAAGCTGTCGAAAGCAAAGCAAACAAAACAAGAAGCAACCGAGAGAAAAGGACTGTACATACTCTTCCAGATGCCAGCCCGTCCCAAGGCCGCCGGCTGGGGTGCCGGCTCTGCCTGCAGACACAGCAGACGCGCCACACGGGAGGGCG